ACGACGGGTTACTGCGGGATCGCTGCCAAAATCTGTACAGCAAATTTAGGGTTGCGAGTCTACCTGCTAAATTTTAAGACAGACGCAAAATTGCGGATTGTAACGCAATGCGAAGAGACAAACGAACAAATGTGGATCGAGATCTTGCAGAGGAGCCACTTTCCGATTCCCCAATTTCCCAGTTTTGAAATTTTCAAATTTTCCCATGTGCAAATTTCGTTTTAAACCAAATTTTCATCTTTCAAATTTCTCTGGTTTCCAAATTTCCAATTTTATACTTTTCAAATTTCTTTACTTCTCAACTTTGCAATTTTCCTATTTTCCCACTTCACCATTTCTTTGGTTTCCAAATTTCTAATTTTCCACTTTTCAAATTTCTCTACTTCCCAACTTTGCAATTCTCCTATTTTCCCACTTCTCCATTTCTCTGTTTCCCAATTTTACTATTTTCCACTTTTCAATTTTCTGTACTTCTCGACTTCACAATTTTCCTATTTTCCCACTTCTCCATTTCTCTGGTTCCCAAATTTCCAATTTTCCACTTTTCAAATTTCTCTACTTCTCAACTTTGCAATTCTCCTATTTTCCCTACTTCTCCATTTCTCTGTTTCCCCAATTTCATTATATTCTAGTGTCCCAATTTGTCGTCGGATCGCCGCCAAAATCTATACAGCAAATTTAGGGTGTCGAGTCTCAAGATTTCGTCAGTAGTCGCAAAATGGCGGCGCGTGAATGACCACTTGCCTCTCATGAACAGAGAAATTAATGAACAAATGCAGTATTATTTTAGTAAAAAGATTGTTATACTAAAATTTGATAAAAGATTGTTATACTATGGAAAAGACAGATCAGTTCGGTAGGCAGTGATGCCTCATTAGTTGTTGCAAATTGAGGAATTTATCATGATTACCATGCGGGTAGATAGATGTACCAGGAATTGTTCGGTTTTATCTCTTTCCGGCTCGGTGTCGTTTGGATCCATTAGGGACAACTGGGAGACACATTCAAGGCAAGCGAGATAGTTTATAATTCTTGCAATGTATTATATAACATAAATATGACAGTGCTTTGTTTGCATTAGATAAATTTTACTAGATACTTCAAATTCTTTAATTTTTTAATTTCTATGTTCTCAAGTTTTTAAGTTAATAGACTTATACATTCTTAGATTTTGTAATTTTTGTATTTGTAAATGTTCAAATTAAAAAATTCTCAAATTTACAAACTTTTACATCTCTAAATTTTTCAAAGTTCCAAATTACATCTCTAAAGTACAAATTCTGAAATTTCCAAATCACCACATTCTTAAATCTCCAAAATCCTCAAATTTTCAAATTTCTAAACTTCCAAATCTCTAAATTCCTATGTTCCCAAATCTCCAAATCCCTAAATCTCCAATTTTCTTCAAATTTCCAACACCAAAAGCACCATCGATTTTTTGTATAGTCGAAAGAAAATGTTACAGATTGTGTGCACAATAACCTTCACTGATTCGACAAGCTTCTTCCATTGTGAAATAGGGTCATGGACGCCTTTCATGTTAAAGTGTGTCAACTTAGCTCCAAAATACGCAGACAATACCTCCTAGGGAGTCTTTCAAATCTTTATCACAGAGTGCGATCCACTTTGGAACACTGTACCATTGCATTAAAGACAAATCGTTGCACTTATACTTTTGACAATATTGTATTTGTACATATACATAAAAATATATGAGCATGTGTACATATAAAAAAACATTCATATAGCGATAATTTGGAAGCAGAATTTTTTCAACATTTACGTTTCAAATATCCCAAATTTTGAGCTTCTTGAACCTCTAAATTCTCAAATTCTCAAATCTTCAAATTCTCAAATCCTCAAATTCGCAAATCTTCAAATTCTCAAATCTTCAAATTTTCAAATTTTCAAATTTTCAAATTCTCAAATCTTCGAATTCTCAAATCTTCGAATTCTCAAATCTTCGAATTCTCAAACCTTCAAATTCTCAAATCTTCAAATTCTCAACTCTTCAAATTCTCAACTCTTCAAATTCTCAACTTTTCAAATTCTCAACCCTTAAATTTCTCAAATCTTCAAATTCTCAAATCTTCAAATTCTCAAAATCTTCAAATTCTCAACTCTTCAAATTCTCAACTCTTCAAATTCTCAACTCTTCAAATTCTCAACTCTTCAAATTCTCAACTCTTCAAATTCTCAACTCTTCAAATTCTCAACTCTTCAAATTCTCAACTCTTCAAATTCTCAACTCTTCAAATTCTCAACTCTTCAAATTCTCAACTCTTCAAATTCTCAACTCTTCAAATTCTCAACTCTTCAAATTCTCAACTCTTCAAATTCTCAACTCTTCAAATTCTCAACTCTTCAAATTCTCAACTCTTCAAATTCTCAACTCTTCAAATTCTCAACTCTTCAAATTCTCAACTCTTCAAATTCTCAACTCTTCAAATTCTCAACTCTTCAAATTCTCAACTCTTCAAATTCTCAACTCTTCAAATTCTCAACTCTTCAAATTCTCAACTCTTCAAATTCTCAACTCTTCAAATTCTCAACTCTTCAAATTCTCAACTCTTCAAATTCTCAACCCTTCAATTTCTCAAATCTTCAAATTCTCAAATTTTCAAATTCTCAACTCTTCAAATTCTCAACCCTTAAATTTCTCAAACCTTCAATTTCTCAAATCTTCAAATTCCCAAATTTTCAAATCCACAAATGTCCAAATCCCTAAATTCCTAAATTCGCAAGTCACCAAATTCCTTAATTGCTTAATTCCCAATTTTCAAGTCTCTACATCTCCAACTTCTCAAACCCCCAAATCTCCAAATTTCTAAACTGCCAAATTTCCAAATCTCTACATTCCCAAATTCTCAACTCCCTTAACCCCTACAATCTCAAATTCTCTAACTCGTATATTCCTAAATCCTCAAATTACAAACACACATACATAGACATATATAAACGTCATATAAACTAGATTTCACCTAAAGTATAATATATATAACATAACTACGAGAATGAAATTACAAGAGAGCCTCTTCAACCTCAAGATGCCTGTCTACAACACAAATCATCAAACAGACAGTCACAAAGTAGAACTGACGTCTCCTTCATGGATTAACATCATCTCCTCGATACAGCGAACACTATGCGACAGCAGAACATCAATATCTTAAGGGCTTTCGAAGATGTGGCTCTGGTGTGCCTATGTTTGACGTTATGTCAACACAATTTTACGTGAAGGACGAGATGAACATGTTTCGTGGTTGATAGTTGCTGAATACAGTAGCGTTTGTTTTTATAGGTGGAGGTTATTTTGGTTGCAAATTTGCATTTTGGGGTTACCAAAACCTTTATGTTGATTTTGGATATTTAGGGTTAATATTTGGGATTTTAGATATTTAGGGTTATTATTTGGGATTTTTAGATATTTGGGATTTTAGATATTTAGGGTTAATATTTGGGATTTTTAGATATTTGGGATTTTAGATATTTAGGGTTTTAGATATTTTATGATTTTACTTTGGGATTTTAGATATTTAGGGTTAATATTTGGGATTTTTAGATATTTGGGATTTTAGATATTTAGGGTTAATATTTGGGATTTTTAGATATTTGGGTAGGATTTTAGATTTAGGATTTTAGATATTTAGGATTTTAGATATTTAGGATTTTAGATATTTAGGATTTTAGATATTTAGGATTTTAGATATTTAGGATTTTAGATATTTAGGATTTTAGATATTTAGGATTTTAGATATGTAGGATTTTAGATATTTAGGATTTTAGATATTTAGAATTTTAGATATTTAGAATTTTAGATATTTAGGATTAATATTTAGAATTTTTAGATATTTAGGAATTGTAAAATTTTCAGATTGTCAAGTGGTGAAGTGGTTAAATGGTCAAATTGTCAAATGGTCAAAGGATGAGATTGTCATATTGTTGCATTGTGAAATTGTGAAATTGTGAAATTGTGAAATTGTCAGATTGTCACATGATCAAATTGTCAAATTGTCACACTGTCACACTGTCCAATGGTCAAATGGTTAAATGGTTAAATGATCAAATTGCCAAATTGTTAAATTATTAAATTGTCAAATTGTCAAATTGTCAAATTGTTAAATGGTCAAATGATGAAATTGTCACATGGTCAAATTGTCACATTGTTACATTGTGAAATTTCCACATGGTCAAATTGTCACATTGTTACATTATGAAATTTCCACATGGTCAAATTGTCACATTGTTACATTATGAAATTGTCACATGGTCAAATTGTCACATTGTTACATTGCGAAATTGTCAAATGGTTAAATTGTCAAATTGTCAAATTCTCACACTGTCCAATGGTCAAATGGTTAAATGGTTAAATGATCAAATTGCCAAATTGCCAAATTGTTAAATTATTAAATTGTCAAATTGTGAAATTGTCAAATTGTTAAATTGTCACATGATCAAATTGTCACATAGTTACATTGTGAAATTTCCATATGGTCAAATTGTCACATTGTTACATTGTGAAATTGTCACATGGTCAAATTGTCACATTGTTACATTGTAAAATTGTCACATGGTCAAGTTGTCAAGTTGTCAAATTATCAAATTGTCACATGATCAAATTGTTATATGGTCAAATTGTCATATATGCTGAAGTTGTCCCATTGTCACATTGTTACATTGTCAAATTGTCACATATGATCGAGTTGTCCAATTATCACATCGTCACATTGTTACGATATCAAATTCTCAAATTTTCAAATCCATAATTTTCAAATAGTCTAATCATGCAATCATCAAATTCCTACTCCACAAATTCCAAATTCCCCTACCAAAAACTTCGACAACTAGGTTACTCAATAACATAAATATCAAACTTCAACATACTCATCCAAACTTCCGAAGTACCCAAACTTTGTTACAACACTCCTAACCATACTTCCCCTAACATCTTCGCATCTCCCCTAACATCCAACACAAAATACATTCTCACAAAATCTTACCTGTCAATAGAAATCGCCATCAAGGTGAAGACGCTGGCGCATATAGTGAGCACCGCGATGAACTGACAGATCTTGCAATATAGCGTGCCAAAGGGCCAATGGCTATTCAGCATGTAGATGTAATTGAAGGTGACATTCAACGTGGAGACCATAGCGTCAGCGATGCTCAAATTCACTAGGAAATAATTGGTGACTGTGCGCATTCGCTTGTGCGCCAACACGATCCAGATGACAATGAGATTGCCACCGGTGGCCACGATGATCATACCCGCGAACAACAACGTCCAAATCATTTGTCTCCACCATGGCAATATGAACTGATTCCTCAGCTGCAAATCGGTGGTGTTCGTGTTGTTATAGTACGTATAATTGTCCCACAGGGTGATGTTCCAAGGGTCGGGCGTGGAGTTATAAACGTCGACGGCCTGCATTTTATCGATTCTTCCGCACTTCTTAATCTAACATTTATTACTTTCTGGGTGATTTCCTGGTAATGTACCACTACGTTTAGCACATTGTTTCATTTAGCACAATATTTCGATTAGCACAGCTTTTAGCACAGTGTATCAATCAGCACAGCTTTTCATTTACCACAGTATTTCTTTAAGTAGAGATTTAGGATACACTTTGATTAATTTGATTCTTGTTAGACACTTTAGAGATTCACTATACACTGACACTTATATTGTAGTTTAGAACGTAGTACGTGTTTACGTGTATTAATTTTGTATACATGTAATTATTTTGCAATTTTGCGATTTTATAATTATGGAAGTTCACAGGTATTGAATCCTTGTGGCAAAGTATCCTGAATGCAGGAGAACGTTTAATCGATTAGGTGCAGACATAATAAAATTGATGATGGTTGCTACTACAGCATTTGGATGCTGTCCATGGATAACTGACAAGGCTGTGTCGCCGGCGATGCTCACTTCCACTTCCGTTTCATGCACGGACGCCTTTAACAGGCTTCCGTTGGATCGACTGCTCAGCCGTTGACCCACTGGATCAATCACTATTGTTTGCATTGGTCACCTTACGAAATTCGAGCCAATTCGACATTACTGCACTCAGATGCAATTATTCCGATTGATGGAGTCTCTGTGGAATTCTGCATTTGTGGTCCATGGTTTTTAAGTAAATCTGCAATCTGTAATTGAACAAAATATTGTATTAATTTTGATAATTTTATAAACTATTTTAGTAAACTTTGTTAATAAATTTTATTGATTTTTGTTAATAAATTTTGTTTATTTATTCTATATTGTACTCGCAATTTTGGTCTTTAAATTTTCAAAAATTATCAACTTTGCGAAATTTTAAAAAATTATCAATTTTACGAAATTTTCAAAATTTACAAATTATCAACTTTATTAAATTTTCAAAACTCCCAAATTAGCAACGTTACGAAATTTTCAAAATTCCCAGATTTTCAAGTTTTCAAATTACAACATTTCCAAACACTCCAATTTTTAATTTTTCGCAGTCAAAATTCTCTAAAATCCCAATATCCACAATTTTCTCAAATTTTCTAAAAAATTTTAAAATTTCTCAAAAACCAAATTTCCCACTCCAACCCTCTTAGTACCGACTTAATACAATTTACTAAAATTTGATAAAATAACCACGAAAAAAATAATATAATAAAAATAGTTATCCAAAACTTTGAAAGGAACCAAAATAAAGAAACAACAAACACTAAAAAATTGATAAACTAAAAATTAAAAAATATTTTTAAAAATTGTCAAAAATCACATATGTCAAAAATTACATATGTAAAATCACATCACATATGTCAAAAATGACACATGTAAAATCACATCATATATGTCAAAAATGACACATGTAGAATCACATATGTAAAATCGCATCACATACGTCAAAAATCACATATGTAAAAAATCACATATGTATAATCGCATCACATATGTCAAAAATCACATATGTATAATCACATCACATATGTCAAAAATCACATATGCAAAATCACATCACATATGTCAAAAATCACATATGTCAAAAGTCACATATGTCAAAAATCACATATGTCAAAAGTCACGTATGTTAAAAATTAAATATGTAACAGTTGGTTACAAGGATAAATTCTAAAGTTTCAGCACTAAAAGCACTAGTACTTGTATCAACCCCTTGTCACACTCGTGGCGCATCCCACAAAGTAGTATAATCCACCCTCGTTTACATTGCAATTAAATTTCGCTCCACCTAATCCACATAATAAATGATCACATAATATACCTAACATATAAAATCCTCAGTCGTCTGAAAATTCTATCAATCACAAGCTGCGACAACTGTCCAGCAAATAAATTCCTTTGAATTCTCCCCTACATCTCACCTTGCAAGCGTAAAAATGCCCTAATCTACCGTAGCTTTCCTATCACGTTTTCCGGTAATGAAAATGGCATCTTCCTTTGTATCCACGGTTTTTACGACTCCGCGTTGCACGGGTAGTTACCCCAGACTTTCAACCGGAATTGTTAAAGAAATCCTCTCTTCCCCAGCTACTTCCGCGCTAATCTCCATCGACATCCTTCGCGATTTACCGCTCCCTTTTTCCCCCATTCGTCAATAGAATTTGTCGTTACCGTTTTCACCTGTTCTCGGAATTTCATCGGTTTTCCCTGGAGGACACCTTTCCGTTCCGGTCAAAGGGATCCGCGAAGTAACCGTTCTCGTGACAACTTTCGCACGGATTTTTCCGATTTTCCATCGCCCGGAGAATGCGGATCGCCTTTCACGCCGAAAACGGAACACCCCGGAAACCCGACGACGCGTTCTCCGACAGATCTCAACCTCGGAACGAGTCCTCTTTGATGTCCCTCGCGGATATTCGCGTTCCCTCTCGGATTACGAACGTTTCCGGAGATTGTTTCGAGAGCATCGCGAGAAAACGAAGGGATCGGTTTCCAGTGGTACGGATCGCGTTAACGGGAATCGGAAAATTATTTTCAGATACTAGGAACGGGGACAAGAATGCTTCTGTTCGAAGTCACGGCCGTTTCTGATGCTTCCGACAATCCGCGCTCGAATCGACGTCCCGGAATCGCTATCTGCTTCCTCCCGTTCCACGTTTCGTCACGTTCGCTATTTCTTCGACGCTCGTTCACGGACTCTGAAACATAAATTACACGGGAAACTGTAATTTTTTCACGTATTGGTTGATTTATGGGCTAACTTTTTAGGGAGCGGGTTTGAGAGGCAACTCGGAAATTTGAACGGAAGTAATTTTGTTTCCGGAAGGATGTGCTTGATGTTTGGTAAATGTGATATAGGATATTTTGTTGAAAATATTTACTTGCCGTGGTATTACTGTTTTATGTAATATATGATACGTTATAATATAAAATTATAATTTGTATTACATAATATATTACAATAAATAATTATACTACATAATATAATAAAATATATAATTTAATAGTAATGTACTTTATTTGGTATTTCTTTAAAATCGAATTGGATGAAGAGGATAACTTAAAATAAATTATTTGACAAACGAATAAACCTAAATCCCTATAAGGATATATCTAGTGTCCCTTTCATGAAGAAATAAATTTAAACTAAATCACTAAATGGTAGTGAAGTATTTAAGTAGCTAAAAATATTGGAACAAGGATGATTGTATTTAAAATTGTAATTATTGACTATGTAAAATGTGAGACAAGAATTTGCTAGATTTTTTAGATTTTCTAGTGAATTTGGTAATGGAATATAAAATGTTTAAATTTTTAAGAAAATGTAGAAGATGTAGATTTTTAGATCAAGATAAAAGTTTCTTGGATTTCTTAGGGGATTTCTTAGGACGAGATAAAGGTTTTTGATAAAAATTGAGATCTGCTAGATTTCCTAGGGGATTTTTCAGGGTAAGAAAGATTTTCTATAAAATTGAAATTTTTTAGATTTCCTAGGGGATTTTGTAGTAGGAGACACCGATTTTCTATGAAATTTAGATCTTCTAGATTTCCTAGCGAATTTCCTAGGGAATGTAGAGTATGAATTATTAAATATAGATTACAACCTTGATTATTAAAAATGATTGACTATTGAATTCAAACTTGATTATCAGGAATTATATTAAAAAAGGAATTCAAACTTGATTATCAAGAATTATATTAAAAATGGAATTCAAACTTGATTATCAAGACTTATATCAAAAATGGAATTCAAACTTGATTATCATGACTTATATTAAAAATTGAATTCAAACTTAATTATCAAGAATTATATTAAAAATGGAATTCAAACTCAAATATCAAGAATTATATTAAAACTGGAATTCAAACTTGATTTTCAAGAATTATATTAAAAATGGAATTCAAACTTGAATATCAAGAATTATATTAAAAATGGAATTCAAACTTAATTATCAAGAATTATATTAAAAATGGAATTCAAACTCAAATATCAAGAATTATATTAAAACTGGAATTCAAACTTGATTTTCAAGAATTATATTAAAAATAGAATTCAAACTTGATTATCATGAATTATATTAAAAAAGGAATTCAAACTTGATTATCGAGTGTTTAAATACTAAATACAAATTGCAAATTATATATCGTTTGAACCAAACACAATTTCCACCTGGTTAGGACTTACACATAACTAGATACTGTTTCTTCAGAGTCCTTTGATATGTAATGAAACGATGCTAGCATTCAGAAACAGCACATGTTGCTACATAAGCAGGAAGTTTCATCCTGTGCACGCTGCTGTAATGCTTTTGTGTTTAGTTTGATGTATACCTATTGTCACGCTTTTCAGAAGATCTATTGTTCGATACTGTTAATTTACAGCGATAGAGTAACGATAGTATTGGAACAACCTTAGTAGCAAAGGTAGACGTAACACAAATTGAATACACAAATAAATTACTGAGTTCTATCCACATTTCTAGTGGATTTTCTACTGTTGTGAATATCTAAATTTTTTGCTTTGCAAGAGCCAAATTTCTGCACTTCTGAATATTTAAATTTGTCGAGAAGGCAAACTACCTTCTTTCCAAATTTTCAAATTTCCATAAGCCCGAATTTCTACCCTTCTAAATACTTCCCTTCTATTCAACCTATGTAAATGTTGCGTGAAGAGGTTGACCCAGGTGCTCATAGAGCTGCGGCTCCAATTAGTCAGATGTCCAAAATTTCAAACTTCTAATAGGTTTTCTACGTTTCTGAATATTTAAACTTACCAATTTCCAAGAGCCAAATTTCTACACCTCTGAACCTCTAAAGTCAAGAACGCAAATTACCCTTCTATCCAAATTTTCAAATTCACACGCGCGAATTTCTACCCTTCTAAATATCCAAACTTCCAAATTTCCATAAGCCCACTACTTTTCTAAATATCCAACTTCAAATTTTCATAAGCTTTCTACATTTCTGAATACGCAAACATTCAAACTCCAACTTCAACGTTTCTAAACCCCCAAACTGTCAAACCCCAAATTCCACATTCCCACATACCGATGTCAACCCACGAGTTGGCGCGTGGTGTTCAGAAGAGCCACTCCGATTGGTCAGAATAGAAAAATGGACGCCTCACACGTATTTTCGGCGGTATTGGCTCTCGCAGTCGCCAATTAGGCGAAAAACAGGCAAACGTCTCTCTAGTGAGGTGCTACTTGCGTTCAGCAGTTGTCATTATTCTCATTTGCCGAAATGTAACTGGAAGTGTTCACGGTGGGCTTTTACTTTGGGTCATCGACTCGTGGATTGACATCGATACGTCTAGCTATTTTATACTATTAATATATGTAAAGGTACTTTGTACTATCAATTCTTATTTATACTATCAAATCCTTATTTTTACTATCAAATGTAGCTGGAAGTGTTCACGGTGGAGAGCTTCTACTTTGAATCGATGACGCGCCATCTCGTGGGTTGACATCTGTACATCAAGCTATTGTAGATTATTAATATATGTGAAGGTGCTTTGTGGTATCAAATTCTTATTTGTACTATCAAATCCTTATTTGGACTATCAAATCTTTAGTTATATTATCAAATCCTTATTTGGATTATCAGATCCTTATTTGAACAACCAAATATTTGTACTATCAAATCCTTTCCTCCTTTCAAAATTCGATACTCCAGATATGTAATACTTTAACATATTGTGTTTGAATAAAATATGCACTTCGAAAATTCACTTATCCGAAAGTACAGGACTCCATCGCAAACAATGCGTGCAATTCGTGGAAACAAAGATAACGTTTGCCTTTACGTATAGAGGAATTATGCAGTTCCCTGGGAACCATCTAGCTAAGTGCCTGAATAATTGATCTCGTCACACGAGTTATCCACATCGGTATGTAAAGCGAGGAACGGGGCCAAGCTTGTGGATCGAACATGTCGCATCAAGATGAACACTTCGTGGACAAATACGGTGGTTCCACTGTTCATTTAGTGCACATCGATAACATCTAATAGTGTCACGATCTCTTTAATTAGTAATGTCTCTTTAACTAGCAATGGACATTTTCTGAGACAGCTGTTAATTAAACGACTGCTTTGTTAAACTCTTTTTGCTGCTTGTTTAGTGGGAAATTATGGATAATTGGGGTAATAAGGGATGTAGGGTTATATTGTATTCAGCTACAATTTTTAAGTCCTAGACTATTTTTTTCAGTATTCGATGAAAATATTTGATGAAGATTTTCAAATATTTTGGTTATTGATAATTATTGATAATTGGTTACTGGTTATTGGTAATTATTGATGGAATTAAATATTCATTGCAGAAAATTACTTTGGTCAACAATTTTGATGAAAAAATTATAACAAGAGTTTTTTAAGGGAAACAGTTTATTAAAATTAAAAAATATAATTTGTAAAGCAAATTGAAATATAAAATTGAGAGGACCTAAGTCGTTAAAGTAAAATATCAAATTAAAAAACTGTAATTCATTAAAATGACATATGTATAATACAAAAATAAAAGGAATGTAATATAAAAGTTTAAACACAATAAAAGATCATTATTTAAATAATTTGTTAATATTCACTTAAACATAAATATAATCCATTTTAAACTTTGACACACTTTCATAATGAGAATTAGCAATATTACTGTAATTAACTCTCCATACTTCAGACACGTATTTCGTTGCTTTTTCCTGTCTTTATTTCACATTTTAGCTCACTTCCATAACGACGATGTGGTAAAGTAATATAACCTATTAAATTCAGGTATTTTGTGAAGTAGAGCGTCAAAGCTTTAAAAGCCAACAGGATTAGCACTTGGAATTTCAGAAGGTTAATATTTTCTCACTGAAAATACATTCGATAATTTTGTTAAAAGTACTTCAGAAGCTTTACTTCACCTTTATTCATTGCTGTTCAAATTATTTTTGTAAACGTTACAAAGAAATATATAATTGTCATATTTTATTGTACATATTATTTTTATAATATTTTAAATAATATTTTAACTAATTGAAATATAAATATGCAATATACTGAGAGTTTCAATAAAATATACATTTAACACATCTTGACTGAATATTGAACAAAATGATATAAAAAATGTAATGATGTAAATATTTATAATTTTAAAATAACAGAACATAGACTTGACTTGTTTATTTCAATAAAATTTATTTTATTTATTTATTCATACAATATAAAATCAAACCTCATTAACTTAATCTCAAAATAAAAAAATGTGCATTCAGACCGTAAAACTTGAAAGACTAAACGAAGAATAAGTAAGTGTTTTTTTGAATATTTCGTTGAAAGAGCAAGCGACGCCAAATTGAAGTGCAAAATAACGGCGAGAGACTGAAGATAAACAGACTTAACGAGAAGAGCGAAATTAGGGAAGGAATAAAAGGAAACGAACGAATTCGCCAACAGTCCATGAACTAAGAGTGTCCCTTAACTGGGGCTATTGTTGCTATCTCATTGTCGGTACAAAACTTGCGAAACCGGGGAAGAATTAAAAATGCGAGCGTCTGCATTTTCCTCTCATTGTTACGTAACTCGTAACACAATGCCGACTGAGAAATTCTATTCTTACGAGACTTTCGAAGGGAATTATTGCGCAATATAGATGAAAATTCAGTCGGAACATGCTTATCAAGACTAAGTAAATTATGGTAAGTTGAGAGAGGAA